TGGGGATGAGAGATGTTAGCGCAGAGAAGAAACCGTCTCCTGTTTTTTTCGTGTTTTAAAATTAAAGACATTTTTAATGCGGTTATTTTATACTGTATTATTATTAGTGATTCTTGTCTGTGGTTTTGGGTAATTTATAATACAGTTTGGAGGAATCTGTTATGATATATTTTTTTAACAGTTTGGGAAGTCTGTTATAATACATTTTTTAACAGTTGGGGAAGTCTGTTATAATACATTTTAACAGTTGTGTCTTTTCGGATATGACGCATTGAAAAAGCTGCGCATGCACAGAAGTGAAATGCGTCATATCCGAAAAGACATATACCTGACATCTCAAAAACCGGATCAAACTGGATGCGCTATATCAGAAAACACATATACTACTAAAAGTTGCCACTCTTTATGCTGTAAAATAACATCTCTCTTGTAAAATTACATGAAATGTTAAATTACCATTTTGTTACAATACCATGAATGTAAATTTACTTGCTATGTAAATAGCTTCCAGTAGAATTACATAGTGTTGTGTGAAATATCATTGAATGTTAAAATACAGCTAAAACAGTGGCAACTTTTCTGCCAGTTAAAAAATAGTAAATTTACATTAAATTTTTTACAGTGTGGTCGGCTACATACTAGCTGCATCCTGAGAACTAAACAACTGGTACCAACTTAACTTTTTTCATGAGTAAGATCAGTGCGTTCATGAGAGTCAGTGAAATTATCAGTGAAATTCTGATTAGAATGGTTTATTAGCATTAATCGCATTGTCTGATCTGATAGTAATAAATTGATTAATGATTTGATGGCTTCCATAGTATGAGTCAGCAAGCAGTAAGTCTTCAGTAGTCAAAACTTCAATTTTCACCAAATGACTAAATCTGTAGCAACCGTGGAATAGTTTTTTAGTTGATGAGTTGATGTTACATTCGTCATACTTCCTCGAGACCGTGGCAATACAAGTGAAAAAAAAAACGTATTCATAAATTAATATTGTCCACTCGAAATTGGCCCTGCTGTCTTGTAAGTAAAATTCCAGCCAATCATAACAAATCACTCGTTATGACTCTATTTTTGCGAACATAAAGAAAGCAGCGTGTCATAAAATGTTTTGATTTAATATATGGACGGTACACAATTGAAAAGCCGAGAGAAAATCAAACCTTTTTACTTGAAAAGAATATGTTCAAACTTCAAACGGGAGGCGGCAAAGCGATGGTGTGTTTTACTTACTTGACCTCATTTCAGTTGTACCGATCTGATTGGTCAGATTTAAATAGCACTAGTCTCATTTCCACGCCCATAAAAAGTGTAGTCAGCTTAGTTTAATACGGGTTAATAAGACAATGTCAAAGCCATATTCTTGATACGTCGGCTTTGTAACATATTTTTTCCTAATTTCCAAATTGAACGCCCATCCACACATTTCCATATCCACCAGACTCCAACAGCATTACATTAAAATAATGCCTTGGCCCTTACTCATCCGGAGCTTAAACCCGATAGACCACTTGTGGGATATCATCCAAAGACGTCTAAACCAGACCTGACGGTGTCCAAAAAATGCAGTAAAACTTAGTGGAGCTTTCCTTTAGGTTTGGGCGCAGATTCTAATGACATTTGTAAACCGTTTCTGCCACTCCATGTACAGAAGATGTCGGGCCTTATCAACACAAAAGGTGGACAAACCAGGTACTGACTTTCAACCTCACACAATCCTTTGTGCAAAAGGTGGTTGTTTTCTGGTGGTTGTATTATTGACATTGGAATAAATAGTTCAATATTTTCTGTACTTTGCGACGTTTCATTATCTTTTCACTATATTACTATTCAAATTGCATAATATGCAGGATTCAAGTCTGGACACACGCTCAATGTGCCTATTTGGAGTGCCTAAATCATTGTGAAAGGTGTGTGTCTAATTGAACATGTGCTTAATTGAAATCAATGTACCTAAATGTCATTGTGCCGAATATTAGTGTGCCTAAAAGGATCGTGTCTTATGTATTTAATTGAATAGTAAGTGTATATACCTAAATCAATGTATCTTAATACATGCCGTGTCTAAAAGAAATGTATCCAAAGTGCCCAAATGACAGTGAACCTTGGAAATGATACAAAAGGGAGCAATCATTCCCATATCTCAAGAACTTTCGGTTGTTCCCGTGTTACTGTAACAATATTGATGATGGGGGACTGCTAACTATTTTCTTCTTTGAGTGGAAAGAAAAGAAGCATTCACAATTTTAACGCTTTAAGCCTTTTTCAAGAACATATTTCATTAACTTATTTTTCATCATGTTTCTCTTTCGACAGAATACAATGTACTTAAAATAAGTTTTAATTATTTTGCAAATACTTAAAAGTTCCCTGAGAGTATCATAGAGTCAACATAACAGAGTTAATAGATTTGAAAATCGAAGAAAAAAATTGTTAAGGATGTTGACAGAAATAACAACACTAAACGACTGGAAAAGATCTTTTTTGATACAAGATGTATTTGCTTAGTTAAGACTAGCACTTCTATTGTTTATAATCATTAATTACCAAAAGATACATTTATTGAGTTTTTAATGGACAAGGTCCTGGGGGTAAATTACCAATTCTTTGCTAAAGTAAATCGATAAATTCTTCTATCGAGTGACGTTGGTCATCTCTGGAGGGTACGCTCGTACTTTCTTTTTAAACATAACATAGGGTCCCGTCCAATATGATTCAATCTTCTCGGATATGCGTTTAGAACTGTCTGTTACTATTCCGATCTAACAACATACAGGTGGCAAAATCGGTCTCTACTCTTACCAAGAGAAGCGGACAAGCTGTATTGTCTTGTCAGGCAAAGAACTATCCCAAAAATAAACGAAAGCGAAAAAAAAGCAAGCACATCTTGACATTTTTTGTTTCATCAGATAATTAGAAGAATGTTACTTTGAAATAACATATACCTACACAAAATCAAAAGTCTGTTCCAGATTCGTAAAAATTATTGTGAAAATGGTAGTCAAAGCCTAACAGGTATACACGTTGAATACAAACCTTAGAATGACCCAATGACACGGATATCTATAACAAATAAGTTGAGTTGAATAATAGACATATGCAAACATTTTAGAATAAATATATCCTAAAAACAATCAATTAATGGTTAAACATCACGTATTGTCTTTAATCATATAAAAGTATTGAGCTTTTGACGCCATGTTTTCAGTAGCTAGTAATAGAAACTAAAGACAATTCCGTTAATCTCGGTTTTGTTCGTGCGGTATGTTTATTGCATTTTGTGTCATGTCATTAATTTTATCAGCAGTGCATTTATAATCTGATTAGTCATAGGACTTTGATAAGTTATCATAAAAAAATCCAATTCGTTTTTTTCAAAAAGAGTAAACAAATACATGAAAATGAAGGAAAGACAAAAATCCCTAAAACAGTAAATTAATCGAGTATTGGATAACTGGATGAATAATAACAAGTAATTACCTTATTTCATATGATAATTGAACAGTGAATAACTGGTTTTACATGATAAACACACCTACGTAATATTGTAATGGAATAATGAATACAACCACCATTACATTACAGTGTATATTAATGAAAAAGTGAATACAACCACAATTACGTGATATTGTATAGTAATGGGATAGAGAACACAACCAAATATTACTTTACTGTGTATAGTAATGGAATAATGAATACAATCACAAATACATGTACATGGTATTGTGAGGTAATGGTAAAGTGAATACTACCACATTGAAATGATATTGTTTAAAAAATGAAAACAATTACATAGTATTGTATAGTAATGGAAAAGTGAATGCAACCACATTTACAAGTAATGTAATAGTGAATACAGCGACAATTACATTGTATAGAATAGTAATAAAATAATGAATAGAACCACAAATACATGGTATCGCGAGGTAATGGCAAAGTGAATACTACCACAATTAAATTAGGTTGTTTATGGCATTGTATATACAAAAAAACCACAATTACGTGATATTGTACAGTAATTGAATAGTGATTACAACCACAATTACATGGTATTGCGTAGTGATGAAAAAAGAAATATAACCACGTTTATTTTGTATAGTAATGGAATAGTGAATACAAAAATTACAACGACAATTACGTTAAATTGTATATTAATGGAATAGTGAATACAATTATGTGGTATTGTTTAGTATTGGAAGGGTGAATACAACCACAATTGAGTTATATTGTATAGTAATTGAATAGTAAATACAACGACAATTACGTGTTATTGTATAGTAATAGAATGTTGAATACAATCACGTTTATTTGTGTATTAATGGAATAGTGAATACAAAAATTAAAACAACAATTACAATCGTATGGTAATGGAAAAGTGAATACAACCACAATTACATAACATGGTAAAGTCAAAAAAATAGACGTTACGTGTTTAGTGTAAAAAATAGAATAGATCCACAATTATGTGATTTTGTATAATAATTGAATAGTGGATAACGGGTAGTCACAGAAGGATGAATGGTTAACAACTTTAAAAAAGTAACCTGATTTTTGTACCATTCGAATATTTGGTAACTTGATATTCTTTAATACAAAAAAGTAATTACTTAGTCTCATATGGAAATAGAATAGTTAATACTAGATATTCTTTAATATAAAAAGTAATTTCTTAGTTTCGTATGGTAATTGAATAGTTGATAACTAAATATTCTTTAAAAAGACAATTTTCGTATGATAATCGAATAATTGAAATGTGGTTATTCACTTTAAAGAGATAACACCATTCTGTGCTATTCGGATAGTGGACAATAAAGATATACGTTTAGTTGTATACAAAAGCAGTTTCTTGATACTGTTAAATTGTAATAATGTATTATAAAAATGGTATAATTAGGATTTGGAAATGTGTTACACAGAGTTTAAAGGGATTATGCTGAAATTGATTCAAGGATACTCACAGAAAAGATATACCATCTAATCCAAGATGCAGAAAACCATTTTTGTACGTATTTCCGATTGCAGTTTATAGACTTTTTTTCTTAATAATTCTATCTTCTTTACCGTCTTTCTTTGAGAACTGTTTTCTTCGTTTTCTTCCATCTGTTGTCTACGTTTTCTGTTTGAATTAATCTTTTGATTCCATATATCTTTCAGTGCAACTCAAACTGAAACTCAAGCTCCAACGTGCTTCCATGTAGTAAACGACGAAATCACTGTCAATTGAGACTGCGTGATAATGGG